GCAGATTAGTAAGATTAAAAGTTCTATTAGTTTCAGATAACCCGAAATTCTAATTTGGAGTGATCCCAAATTACTGTTACATATAGTAAGCAAAGGAGTTTCTTGTTGTCTTTTTAGCAGATATCGTTTTGTCACCAAACGTGTTACAGTGACAAAAGTCAAAAAATGTCATGTCATTAAAAGAACACTAAAAAAGTATTTATTATGTAATATCATGGCCTTTCTAAAACAAAAACTATTTTTTAAATTACTCATAAACTGTTTTTACAGTAGCAAATTCAAGAGGTATCTTCTTCTGATCTTCAAAAATAAAATAATTCTATAAAAATTACAATCAACTTAACTTCTTTAAAATTATTTTTTATTTGCTACATATTTTTTAGTCAACTTCAAAACATATTTATAGCTTAGGTGCCATGCATAAAGGATGTCATTCAAATAGGAGAGGGATAGCGTCGAAATAAAAAGGGCAAAAAATGATAAGGTGGAGGGAGGGAGTTGTGAATAAAGGACGTCACCTTATAAATTTTTTAAGTTTATTGTTTTAACTTTATTTACATGGGAAATTGTGTAAATAATTGTTTTAATAAAATTATTGTTTTTGAATACGTTTTACTTTATTTTTCAAGTGAGGCAACAGTGTCAAATCTTAATTTTGTCTGCTGCAACTTCCATTTTTACATCATACCTTCAATGCCCATGTTGTAGGATTGATAAATATAGTTTTAAATTTGCTTCTTAGGTCTCATCTGCGTAACGCTCATCTGACTAAGAAAAAAGCCGAATGTCAAAAAAAAAGTCTATAAAATATGGAATGAGCATATTATATCATTATATAAGTCAATAAAAGTTTTTTATTTAAAAGTAAGAAGAAGAGATGGGTGAGTAGGAGGGGGAAGGGGAAAGGTTCCAAATTTTATGACAAGTTTTTTAAGGGGGATATAGAGGAAAAAAATAAACGATGAAAAGAAACAAGAAGAGGTCAAAAAACACGAAAAAAATTGTAACGCACTTTATGGACGAAACCTTATTATTTTATCGCAATTAAAACAAAGTATAAATGTTGATAAACTTTTTTTCTTCTATGGTTTAAGATGTGTAAAATCTCTGCAAAAAATCTTTACGGCAATTATGAGAATGGTACTTATATGATTAATATGTTTACAATGATGTAAAATTAGTTTTAGCTGCTACTTTTCGTAAATTTAAGCACAATCAAGCTTTAAACATGAATATATTTAGCATAAACATTTTGAGAAGGTTGATATTAATGTAACTTTAATATACCTAAAGATTTGCGAATGGAATTTGAAATAAATCTATTGATTTTGATAAAATAAAGATGATAAAAATATTTCATTTTTAAATTTGAGAGTTTATCTGTAATAGCTTTACCGCCCCCTCCCTCTCTTTATTTAGAAATTAGTAAAGTTAAGGTTGTCACTTAAGTTAGGGTTACCTTTTCATGAAAATTCTAACTTATTTTTATTCACAATACATTGTTGCTATTTTTTATCTGTATAATGAAATACTGCAAAACATTTAAATATATTGGTAATAGTTATTATTGCTGCATGTAGATTTTTCCGTAATGTGTTGTTAAAATATACCTGATATGGTTTATATGATTTATATTATAGGGTCTTTCAAGCTTGCATGCAGGGATATCAGGGCCAACAAAATTCTAGCACGTTAAAAAATAGTCAAAGCCATTTCGAACAGCTTGATCTAGTTCTATAGATAAATCTAAGCATGGAAGAAACACATACAAAAAGCAACAATATTTTGCAAATTTTTTAAAATAATGTTTGAACTGTGTCACTGTATCAGGTTTTAATTGAATTATTTTTTGAACACAATTTTTGAACAATTAATTATGGTGTAATTTATTTACGGAATTTATATCGCTTACTATTCAGCTAGAAACTGATCAACTTAAAGCTGAAGTTGAAATATCAGACGCAATCCCTAGCAAATGCATTTAATAAGAGATTTAAAAGAATAATCTTTGAATAAAAAGAAGAACGCAGAAAAAATTTATTTTTTGACTAAAATACGTTATCTTTTTTCTTGTTTTTCAAACAAAAATGCAACACTTTTTTTGTTTAAATAAATTTTAAGATCTACAAAAAACAGTTGCAAATATAACTTTTTACTGCATTATATGTGTGATAATGCATTTATAGGACAATAGCAGTATTATTGATTAATTGTTAGTTTTCAGCAATATATATGCTAAAACGCTGAAATGCTAAAAGTTTAGGTAGTGCACCCGAATACCGAAAAATTTCCCGGTAATTAGGTGGCCTACATGCTACAATAGCATGTAGGCCAATAAATCTAACCCTGTATTTACCCATATACAGCATAGACAACAATATCAGGCTTTTATTTTTATAAAAAAATAATTCTTATGCTTAGAATACATTTTTATTTGCAGGAGCAAGTAAAAGACAGAAACCTTTTCATCAAGCCCCTATGGCATAAGGTATTTTTAATTTAACGTAAAGTATTTTTTACAAACTTTTTTTTATTTACTTATACTCGTTATATAAGACATGTTAAGTTTGAGCATTAAAGAACTGTTTATTGTTTCTAACTTTGTACAATCATAAGATACTCCTTTTTTTCTATTTTTAAGGTAATTCTATAGCCATTTTAAGTTTCTATTTATTACTCGATATGTTTCTAGTTTGTACAAAAGCAATTCATGATCAACAGTGTCAAAAGCTTTTGGCAAGTTGATAAACAAGCCGAAAGTATAACTTTTTTTTGCAAACCTGTCCAGAATTAGACTGGCTAAATCAGTTACAGAATGATGTGTAAAATGCCCGGTTTGAAAACCAAATTATTTGCTCAATGAAATATTATGTTTATATTTTTTTTTGGACGGGTGATGGTAGGGGCACTCCTTGAATTAAAAACAAATCCCCAATTTAAAAGAAAAAATGCTTTTTAAATCAAAAAAAAGCCCTCTCTCATCATATTCTCAAAAATAAACAATAGGTGGTTTCATTATTGGAACTTACTGCTTTTTTTTATTTACTAAATGGCAAGACAACATTTTGCTAAAAATGCAATTTATATCTTAGTTTGATTTTTTTCAGTATTGTTGATCCTTTTGTGCTTTAAAATAGATTTATAGTAACATTTTCGATAAATGTTTATATTAACTGCAATTTCAAAATAGTTTACTGTAAATAGGTAAATCGATTTTTAATTTTTATTATTTTTTTTTTTTGTTTTTTTTTTGTAATTATGATATCATAATTCCATTACTTTTTTTATAATTTACTTTATGACGCATTTATAAGATTTAAAAAAAAACTTGAATTCCTTTTATTGCGAATTTTTGTTAGTTAAATAGATATAAATATATGCAAAAGAGTCAATTTTTTTTATGTTTTATCTATTTTATGCCTAATCATTTGTTGTAAGTATTTAGGGGATCTTTTTAAACGAGGGGTCGTAATTAAAAACCTTTAAAAACATGAAAAATATTGTAGTTTTGCGCATTTGTCAAATATCGAGTTACTTTAGTTTTATTTAAGTGTTTAACTAATTATTTAGCTTAGTCTGCATTTTCAACACTTTTGACGAAATAAAAAAAAAATTCTTATATATGTAAATCAATGTTTTACATTTTATTATTTTGGTAAAAGGTCGGTCTTCATCAATATCTTGATTACTCTTAATAACAAAAACTCTACTCACCTGACCACTATTAAAAAAAAGTGGGAAGGAACCTCTTTATTAGTGTCAAAATATTTAGAAAAATTAAATTTCGAGTAACAAAAGGAACTTATAGTAAATGGTAGTTTAGTAAATGGTAACAAGTTACCGTTTACTAAAAATTGATGAAATAAAGAGGGCAAACAAATAATATATAAATGGTTGTGTTGAGCAGACTTGGTATACATATTTTTATGTCAACTTATCTGTTACAATTTTAGGTTTGTCATAGGACGCTTTAATGAAATATGAAAGATCAAAGTTTACATATTTTTTTTAGTTTGTTATACAAACGTTTGATTATAAATTAATTTTTTTTTTGTTCGAAACGTATTTGTACTCAGTTGGTAAGTTATTTATAGTAAACTTAGATATTTTGGAAAAATTTATTAAGCTGTGTGCATTTAACGTTTTAAGTAAACAATTTTCTTTTCTAAAGAAAAACTAATCAAATGGATACAAAAAAATTGATAACTCCTGTATAATATATAAGTTAAATTCATCTTAATCTTAAAAGTTCTTGTTATAAAAATTATTATAAGGATTTAGTTGACACTTTCGTCAACTTAAAGTATGACCAAGTGTTATTATTTTGTGTCAGTAACTAAAAAGGTATTGTGTTGAACTTAGGAATGTCGAGATAATTAGTTCTGCTTTAAAATGTTATGACTTATGTCAGTCGTAAATTACTCAAATGATGTTAAGTAGTAATTGTAAATGTTAAGTAATAGTTAGTAAATTATTTCACCTCCTCATACTTTTTATGTTAATTTTACAATAAGATTAATTTTTTCAATTTAAAAGCGTTTTTCTAAAAAAGTATTAGTTATAGTTTTGCAACATTAAATTATGGATAACAGCCACTATAAATTAGTTATGTAACAGACAGACCATAACCCGTACATATATATATATATATATATATATATATATATATATATATATATATATATATATATATATATATATATATATATATATATATATATATATATATATATATATATATATATATATATATATATATATATATATATATATATATATATATATATATATATATATATATATATATATATGTATATAAATATATAGGTATATATATATATATATATATATATATATATATATATATATATATATATATATATATATATATATATATATATATATATATATATATATATATATATATATATATATGTGTGTGTGTAATTAAAATAAAAGCAATAGTATTATTATTAATAAAAATGCAATTAGAGTCATACCAACTAAACATCTATCGTCTGAAGTTAAATAATATCCAGTTTTACATCCACATATTGCGACTGGTACCCCGTTGTAGAATTTAACGTTGCACTCATGCTTGCAGAGATTGTTTTCACATGGGTCTGAAAAAAACTATTGTAATCTTTATAAATAATAATCTTAGTTATTTTCAAAAAAGCAGAAATAATGATAAATAGAAATATTAATACAAAAATATAAACAAGTGCAAATAAAAAGTTAAAAAACTAAATACAAAAATAATCCATGAAAAATATTGTTATTACTAATTTGATATCCCGTCCACCCGACGTCGTAAACTTGTTTGGCATTGATAAACGTTTTTTACACATCTTTTAGACGTGGTGTTTTTACTTGTATATATTTCTCTATCTAAACTATCTGTTATCTGTTAACTATAAGTTATCTAAACTATCTGTTAACTATAAGTTATCTAAACTAACTGTTTAGACTCTCTTTGAGAGTATAAACAGTTAGTTTAGATAAATTAATTATCTTTAAATACAGAAAAAACAAAACACATCTTGTTTCTTTCCAACTAGCAAAAAAATAAAAACAAGCATTCTACCATTGTTAAAAATTGATAACATAAACATTAAAAAAACTGAAATTGTTAAACTTCCTGGGAAAATTATTGACGACACGATTTCTAGAATAACTCATATAAAAACATTAAATAGAAAAATATCAAAAAGTATTGGTATACTATACAGATTCAAACCTATACTTTCCTAGGAGAATCTAAATATTCTCTATTTTTCTTATATGCAAAGTTACCTAACATATGCTAAAATTGCCTGAGAAAGTAGTATTGTAGAATTGTAGTATTATTCTTCACATAATTTATGTAACAATATCTTTAAGTCTCTACCAGTGTTTTATTTTATTTTTTTAAATTTTTTTCTTTGTTGTAATGTTTTTCTTCACATATTTTATGTAATAATATCTTTAAACCTCTACCAGTGTTTTATTTTGTATCTTAACAAAATCAAAAACAATTAAATAAAAAAAAAGTTTCCAGTGGTAAGATATGAACCACGTTGATTTTTTCAGAAGCTCTGCAGTCCACTCCGCCGCTGGCAATTTGCTTTTTGCTTTCACTCAAGATTTCTTATAAAACAAAGTAATGCGACTCTTTCTTGCTACTATCTCAATTTCAAATGCTAGCAAGGATTCCGTGTCATACACGCTCGAAGAAACACTACTAGTACAATTTGGTTTGGCAATAATACATAGAGAAGAATATGTATAAAAAGGTTTATCTAAACGCTATTATAAAAAATAAAGTACATATGATTTTAATAATAATAATTATAGCAAATTTTTGTAAATAACCAAAAAAGTAATAAGCAACATGAAACAAAAGTAATACCAGTAACACATGTTATGCCATCAGGTTGTAAAACATATCCAGAAAAACATGAACAATATGCTGACCAACCATCACTACGGCAGTTGTGAGAACAACGTTTAGAGCCACAACCACCTTAAAACAAAATATATATGTTAATAGTAACATATTACCCAATTAATAGATAATAGTAAAAGTGTAGTTATGCTAAAAATGTATAATATATATTAATTATAGTTTTAAAACTAGTGGACCGGTTATGTATTTCTTTTTTCTTTTCGATACAAATTTGATTCTAATTTTTATTACTTACCTTAAATCTTTTAATGCTTTTAAAATCATATTTTTAAACTACAACTAGTTTCAACGATTCACCACCCTAACCTATTAAAAATAGGTTTTACCTCAAAGATCCCTCTATTATGATTTAAATTTTTATTTGTTTTACAATTTTTTGTTTTTGTTTATATACGCATACGCACACATACGTATAAACACCCACACTCATGCACACACATATACATTTATATATATATATATATATATATATATATATATATATATATATATATATATATATATATATATATATATATATATATATATATATATATATATATATATATATATATATATATATATATATATATATATATATATATATATATATATATTTTTATATATATATATATATATATATATATATATATATATTTTTATATATATATATATATATATATATATATATATATATATATATATATATATATATATATATATATATATATAAACAGACTTTCATATTTAATAAAAATTAAATTAGTTTATTTTATCCCCATTTTATTGTTCTGATCATCAGATTGTAACAGATGGCTTAGTTAAAATAGAGTTTTTTAAAAAGTCAAAGACAACAGAATTCTTAATATAAACAGTAAACAAATTTACTTACACCATTTACTATTTTTCATAATTCCAAAATTTTTTTTTGTAGATCTCAAAAGTATACATTTTTTAACTTTTAAAATAAACTATTAAAGATTATTTTTATATTGTAAATCTGTTGCATTTTAAGGAACAACATTTATATTATTGAAAGTGCATTGGCATTTTTATCTTCACATTCATTGTTATTTTTGAATACCATGACAATTTTTTATATGTTCTTTAAAAATTTAATAAATATTTAAACAAAGAATTCAAAGTGGATATTGGTATACTTATATTATATGGATATTTTTGTAGACAATGTAAATTCATATTTAATTCAGCTGTTAACAGTTAATATTGAGTCCAAAGTGTATTTGTACTGATAATCGCCTAATACGCTGTTATATATTGTCATCTGTCAAAGTCAAAGTACTCAGAATTACTTTGCTTTGCCATTATTTATGCTCTGAAACATGAGCTAATTTGTAGCATTAATAAGTTACACATAATATTATAATTTAAAAAAAAGGCTCTTATATACAACTCTCCAATTGACACTATCCAATAAAGCTCTCTTATAAACAGACTCTTAAACAGACTTTTGCAGTGTCCATATCTGTTAAAATGGATTTATACTTATAAAACTTCTTTTTTTTATATTCAAAATTATTTTTTTCGCATTTTTCAAAAACTCAGTGTAGGGGAACTGGGGCATAACCGCATATGGAGGCTTAACAGTTATTCAACATTTTCCTCAGAAAAACGTCATTTAATATGACAAAAAACATACCACGAGTTTGTAAAACAGTTTCTTTCATTTTTCTTATGTCAAAAAGAGTGTCTGATGTGTTTTTGAGAAGTTATGCATAATAATGTTTATTTTGATAAATATATTATATTTACATAATATTTTTTCAAACCTTTTTTGTTAAAGATAATGTGTTAAAGATATGTGTTATCAGCGTTATTTTATCGATTGAAAACTTATTTTGATATCAACATGACCTTATAAGCAAGCTATAAAATTGTATTCTTTTTAAAAACTCTCTTCTCGGCCTAAACCGCATAGACGTACAGGAGACACGAATGAATACTTTTGATATTTATCAAAATTTAGTAATAAAAAATAGTAGATAAATAGAACAAAAATAGTTTTGTTTTGAGATGTTGGAGATTATATTTTGTATTTCTTTATTTAACTTTTATAAATGAGTTTTTGGTTAAAATATTTAGCTAAGAGAATAAATATATTTATTTATACCTGATAAATATTTATTATTATATATTGTTGGTATATAATTGTGAAATACCATGAAAAGTGCACCTTTAACAATTGGGTGTGCCTCACAATGGGGGCAAAACTGTTTTTTTACTAAGTGTACTTTTTATGTAATTACATTTTTAAAAACTTTTTTTTTTTTTTAATTGAAGCAATTTACAGCCTAATTATGTGGCTACTTGAATAAACTGTTAAAAATAAACATTTCGCTTTTATTTTATATAATATAAATCAAAACGTTACGGGGGCAGTTATGCCCCTACTTCCCATGCTTTTAGTATTTTTAGGCCTCAACTCTGTCAATAAAAACTAAGTTTAATCTTAAAAAACCGTGATATAAAAAACTTGAAGAAATAAACTTTTTCTTTAACCTGTTATTTTTTAAAAAAAAAAAAGCTTTATGTCGCATTTAGGAGTTGAATAAAAATAATTCTTAAAAAAAATGTTTATCTGATTACTTTTATATAAATGCAGTACATTTGATTTTATTACTAATACATAAAGTAAGTTTTTAGTTAACAACAAAAGTAATAAATAAAAAAAAAACAAATATAATACCACTCAAACATGTTTTGCCATCAGGTTGTAAAATAAATCCATTAAAACAAGAACAATTGGTTGACGAACCATACTGATTGCATATTTGAGAACAACTATGGATCCAGCAAAGGTCTTAAAAAGAATTATTTCTATGTCATGCTAATACTAGATTTTAATATTGAGAGTTTTAACTAATAATGCTAATTGTACTGAGAGTTGCTTTTTTATTTTTATTATTATTATTAATTTGATAAAATCAATCATTAATAAAAATTTAATAATAAAAAAACAACTGCACACTTGGCAGAAATCAAGTTGGGAAAAGTTAATATCCACAAAAGTGTGCAAAATAACTCCACACTTGTGCTTAGAAGTTACAGCTACTCACCGGTGTGAGCAGAAGCTTCTCACTTTCCACGAGCGTGTAAATGTTGATGTAAATATATTCGTTTGAGATATTAAAATTAATATATTTTTTTAAAAATTATTCGTAAAAACTAAACGATTACATTATCCACACGGTACAAATATATACATAAACCCATATATGTTTAATAAACAATAACCGTTTAAAAATATATATATTCGTCGAAAAAGTATATAAGGAAAATATATAATGGTTTACTTATATTTGCTAAATAAATATATGCTTGTTATGCGAATATTATTTGTACATATATCACAAGATGTTAGGCGAAATTTATTTGTTAAACTAATTAAAAAAAAAATATGTGCTATTTTACAAATTGCCTAATTTAAGGTCAACGTACTAATAATGAGCTGTTGGGACAAACACAAGTTGTTGCCTTTGTTTATATATATATATATATATATATATATATATATATATATATATATATATATATATATATATATATATATATATATATATATATTTATAGATATCTATATATATATATATATATGTAAATATATATATAAATATATATATATATATATATATATATATATATATATATATATATATATATATATATATATATATATATATATATATATATATATATATATATATATATATATATATATATATATATATTAGTTTAAAGTATAGCCATATAAAGTTTGAAGTGAAGTTATACAAAGTTAAAAAAAAAGCGATTTAAAATAAAGAAATTAAAATTTACTTAAATTTAATACAGTATTGAAAGCATATTTGTACATCGATTTAAGTATTAATGTTATAAACATTTCAACATATATATATATATATATATATATATATATATATATATATATATATATATATATATATATATATATATATATATATATATATATATATATATATATTAGTTTAAAGTATAGCCATATAAAGTTTGAAGTGAAGTTATACAAAGTTAAAAAAAAAGCGATTTAAAATAAAGAAATTAAAATTTACTTAAATTTAATACAGTATTGAAAGCATATTTGTACATCGATTTAAGTATTAATGTTATAAACATTTCAACAGCATCTTGGGTGGTTTGTGTTTAATGGCTTAAAAACCATGGACAATGTTCTGTAAAAGAATTGCAAGCTAGAATTTTGAGGGTCTTACAATAATAAAAATTATTTAAAAAACATTATTAAAAGGCAAAATAAAACTTCTTGTACTCAACAAGTTAGCATGTAGACTTAATACTACATACTTCTCTAAATTGGAGTGACAATGAAAACTTCTACACCTATGTAAACTCTAAATTATTTAACAAATACTTGCCTAATAAAAGAGCTGGTACAATCAGGCAGCAGTAAAAAGCATACCAAATGTAAAAAAGACATGAAATTTCTTTCAATCTAATATCAACAAACTTAATACAAGAGCAACTGGTAACTTTATTGTATCCCAGAAAGGACAAAAAAGTTCTCAATTTTTTATTTCTTATCGAGGCCTTTATCTATATAACAAATTAATTTTGAATTATAACTCAATTTCTCTTGCTGACAAAATAAGTTCTTTAAAGTCAAAACTAAAAAATCATGTTCTCAATACATATACTTACTTAGAAATGTTTTAGTTCTAACGATAAATTATTATTTGTGCTCACATTCAAACAATCAGCAATCAATTTTTTTTTAACTAAAAAAAGGCTAATTTTACTATTATAAAACACAGCACTAACACCATACAGAGTGTAACAAAAAGAAAAAAAAGTCTACATTAATAATAGTTAAAGTATTTGTTTTATGATAATCTTAATGTTTATATATGTACTTTACGCAATACCCCAAGGTTATCGATGATAAGACTAATCTCAGTCTTCTACGAGATCTCTACAACAGTTAAAATCCTTATCAAGGCATATTTAATTGATGCTTCCTATGTTTATCTTAACGCTATATTGTAAAATATTATTTCTTTTTTATTAGAAGAATATTTAATTGATGCTTCCTATGTTTATCTTAACGCTATTTTGTAAAACATTATTTCTTTTTTATTAGAAGAATATTTTGTTTATGTTAATGCATATTAATTGTAATTAATATGTAGTTGTGAAAATTTGAAGAAAAAAAAAATGTTATAGCGAGTGTTCTATAGGTCTTAATGGACTTTGCTGTCATGTTTTAGGTGTCCTCCTTTACATAAAGTATTATGTGGACACGAAGACATTGATCTTAGAATATAAGTGCACACAGGTAATACCAAAACGGCATTAAAGATTAATAAAAAGCACTATCCTATTGGTCCCACTATGAAATATTAAACTTATATCAGTTATAAAACAAGAAAAAAATTGAAAATTTAAAAATATTTCTAGCAGATCAAGCAAGTTTATCTTTCAAAAGACATGTTTTAAAAATAAAGCAACGAGTTAAAGAAACACGTTTATTGTTCAGTAGATCTAGGATTTGAATCATCACTAATGAAGCATTTAAGAACCAGATATGACTGTTAACTTTTATTTTTCATGTTGATAAATCAAGTTTTATTAATGTAAAAAGTCGAAGGATCATTTTCTTTTATCGCCGTTTCATATATTTACAATAAAAACGTATTGCATTTATAAATATTGATTAACAAGAAGAAGACATTGATTGTCTTAAAACAATTATAATTTAAATGACCAAGCAGTTAAACTACAAAATTATCAAGAAAATTTTAGTAAAATACCACAATATTGCAAATACATAATCAAAGAATAGTAAACACTGAGGTAGTTTTACTTTCACCTGAACAAGATATTGTTAGAAAAAATTAGAATGCAAGTTTTAAATGAGCAACCTGTTATCTATATTAACTTGACAAATCTGATACCAACACAGAGACAATACACAAATTGTTTTAATTTCAAACAAAATATCCAAGAGTGGATGGAGACAAAAATAAAGGAAAAACAACGAGGAGTTGGTTGCTTGGGATATATGGACAGGAAAAATTTACTAATTTCTGTAAGATTGTTAAAGAAGAATTAAACGAAAATGATTTTTATAACACGTAAAACGTAAAAAATATGAGCGCGGATACAAGTATGAATTTATGGTACTTCAACAGTTTGCGAGATAATTATCAAAATATCCTGCCGATAGATTAATTAAATAGCTTTTTATCACAACAAATTGTTTTAGAATTCAAAACACAAAGAAAAAACAGTTGCAGTTCATTAATCACAAGAAAAAAACTTACTCTAGTATTATGTTCAGGCTCACTTTAAACAACTACATTGAAAGTCTAAACACTGCATTTTACAGCATTATTTTACAGCATTAAGAATTTACTTTTCGCGAACGCGTCCTGTGAATCTCTCGACATGAATACGGGTAGAAGCTGCACTAAAACTACCAGCTATGTTTCTTTGTGGAAACTGATGGTTTGCGGTTCTGAGACGAGCGGTTCAGATATATATTTTTTGAAACGCAAAAATATTAAATCAAAAGCCTTTTATCTGACATAAACTCATGTTCTTTCTTGACTAGTTTTTTAAAATGAGATTTTATATTAACTTATCATCAGTGATCGAAACAGATCAGATTTCCCCAAAAAACGAACCATAACCGATTGGAGAGAATCTAAACAATCTATTTTCTGTTGTACATTTTTTTAAAACTGAAAACATTAAAGTGTTTAGCTCATAAATGGTTGGTTGTTGAAATTTAAACTCAGTAGCATCAGTAGCAATATCGGTTTTATAATGCCCGGTTTTTTTAAAACTAAAGACATTATTATTGCAAAACAAGTGTTTTTAGCTCGTTAGTTTTTGTAGATAATTTTCATAAGCATTTATTACTCCTTTTATCTTGTAAAACCACTGTTTTTTAGTTGCTTTGCGTTTTAATAAAGTAGGTTTTGTAACATAAACAGGTTGGTTTAATAGTTATTTTATGAAGAAGACAAAATTTAGACAAAAGTTTTATCATATCATACTTACGTAGGAACCCTTTCAATATTTTTTTTCTTAGCTTAAGTAGCTTTTTATTATTTCACAATTTTTGGGCGTATTTATATTCTATTTTTGCAATTTGGTAAGATGGTGCAGCTCTTTCTGGTGCATTAGTGCATAACTTTCTGGCTTTAGGTGAATGTTTACAACAAACATGCGCATTTCTGAACTTCATATATTTTTTTTCTAAAATTTTAATATATTCTTTTAGTTAAGAAACGTCTTTAGGAATTCTTTAAAATATTGTACTATTTTTGTTAGTAGTTTTAGTTCTAAAGTCATTGAAACATAAAGCTGCACCACAATACCAGTTAACCATGATTTAAACAATAAAATTTAATGTTTTATTACAATATTTAATATCTTGTTTATTTATTGTATTATAGAACTTTTAATTATAGAATAATATAAATAGAATAAATATTTTTCATACACCGCGATAAATTTCCGTACTTTTACGGAATTATTTTCTGTTATTTGTCAGCAAAGTACCCACTTAACAAAATTGAAAAGAAATTTTCCTTTTTTTAAAATATAATTTGTAACACGGAAATTTCAATTGCAAAAAATTTTTATTATTCAAGCCAAAGTAAAATTTGATCATACAAACTTGTCACTTAACTTGTCATGTATACTAAAATGGTGTTTAAAACTATTATTTTTTTACTATTAGTAATTATCTAAGAAAATAAATCTTCTGAATATATATACGGTTGAATGATTATATGCACATTTCATATTCCTTTTTTA